ATGTTTTAACACATATGTTGGAAAATTACCATGAAGAAAACCAATGATGCCCCATCTGATAATGCAAACATTAATCTCATTAGAACAAACCCACCAATCATAATAAAATTTTAATGCCTGAAGTCCAGTGAGTTTGCAGCAAAGGCGAGTTCCACTATGAAAATCAAAGTTTTATAAAGTTAGAAATAGTTAGACAAAACTGATTAATATAAGTGGATAAGATTACCGTGTATTCTCTAGCTCAAATGATATTGTTTGATATTCATTTGTTACATCTTTTTTGTGCGAGCTCTTCTAATGTATAGCTCTCCCAATATTCAAACTTCCCAACGTTGACAACCTGTCCGAGTAGTTGTTAAAAACATAGAAAAATCCAAATTTAGGCTGAACTTGCACTCAAAAATAGAAATAATTAACATATCCAAGATCACTTACCAACTAAGAAGTCATCGCAGTATGTCTGATTCAAAATTCTTTGGAAGTCGACAACAGTGGAAAAAATTTCTGCCGGACAGGTAAAAAATCGATTACACACAAGTTTCAGAATGTAAGATTATCTTACAACGATGATTTGTTGGCCAAAAACATCCTTCTACGTGAACAACCTGAAATCGATGGATTGTAACCTAGATTCTTTCATAGAGGCGATTTTTGAACTTCTCATAAAAGAAATTATGGACAATTGCGTATATTCTCTTCTCCCGACAATTTAAATTGTTTTAAAAACATAATAATTCATTTATAAATATAATGTTCAAAATTAGGTAATTATAACAAAATGAATTAAACCTGCTCATCACAGAAGGCGTAATCCAAACGTTGGAAGTTGGTGTCCAAACACAGATGACTTTTACAAAAATTGTAGCTTCAGACATGTCACAATCTAAGCGTGAAACACAACGAATAGATGGATCACATGTCTTAAGTCCTAGAGGAGTGTGCATGAGTGGACTTTGAGCATGTGTAAGATCATCTTCTGTATCACTAATAGTGTCAGAGAGTTTAGATATCTTAGGGAGTATCTTAACGAAGATACTGTTCTCCAACTTGGTAAAGGCACGAGGGTAAGAATGATCAACATTGTAAAGATTATCAGTTAAATTTAGTGATCTTACACAATTTTTGGTTGGCGTAGTAGAAATATCGTCGCCCGCCACACTATCATCACTCAGCGAACCGTCCAAATACAGATCATAGTCATGATTTTCTTCTAAACCAGAAATAGTAGTGTCACTATCGGAAACCTCATCGTTGAGTTTCTTTATTTTCTGAAACATCATCGTCGAGATCTTGCAAAATATCATCATCATCTTCAGCTTCAACTTTGTTACTATCATATCTGTAATCATCATCACTGTGATCGTTAGATTAACATCCATCATCACTCTCATCCTCACTATCACAGCTATCACCATCACTGGAAGAACCACCATCATGAAGATCTTCGAGATCATCACCACCAGCTCGGCCCTCCTCAATATATCACCATTATTGAAATCGAGTGCTTTATCATGATCACGATCAGCTTTGTCGTTGTCATTACAACCACCTGTAAGAGGTAAATTTAGAGGAGACAAATATTGCAATGAAGAAAACGATTTGAGATACAGAAAAACTTTTTATAAAAGCGGATTAAGGAAAAAACGAGAAATGGAGGCGAGATGATCTCTTTCTTTAATTCAAAATATCTTCCGCAGTGTGGCGGTTGGATGAGATAATGAATCCCACGATACAACCACTAGTATTCGTATAATCGCAAAGCACCCGATTATAGAATATGACGAACTGATATTCTACGATATACTCTCGGACACTTACTCTTGAAAAAAGAAAAGAGACGCGAGAGATTGATGGAAAAAATGTGAATGATTTTTTCTCTGTAAATTTTCTGTAGAGAGTGATTAAAATTGGAGGAGGGAAAGTCGATATATATAGCGAAGGAGAGAGGAGCGTCGCACTTAATCAGCGTGTTAATGACGTGATTAATTTTGCGCTAATGACGCGATTTGGGCGTTAATCTTGGCGTGATTTTCAGGAGAAACATTTGACTGCAGTTTAATGTCGTGATTCTGTTAAAAATTTGAACCAAAAACTTTAGCAATTTGGGCCAGAAATGTTGACCAAAACGTGGCCCAAAAAAAACATATTTTGCTCGGCCCACCAAGACCAAGACCAAGCCCGAGCCCGGCTCGGCGGTGGCGGCGGCGCGCGAGGGGTCCTTGGTTCTCCTTCACACACTTTGAACTATCTCATGTGTGTGTCTATATTTATATGACTAGAAAATTTTCCAATCCTCCAATGTGGGACAAAATGATGTTCTCACAATTTAAGTTGCCTTGAAAGGCTTTATTTTTATTCACAATTGACCAAATTTTAAAGCTTTTGGGCTTTGTAATAATTTGGGTCCAACACCACCAATATCACGAGGAGATTCACCATCAGCATCATGAGGATGAATGGATAGATCATCAGTAGAAGCTCTATTGACTGCAATATATGTTTAGACCATCAGTACAAAATGAAATGATTAATTACAGACAGATACGATAGTGGCACAAAACGCATAGGTATTAAATTTAAAAATCCCAATTTTATTGGAAAATACGGAGAATAATTAGTCTCACATTTTTGTAGATCCCACCATCCAGACTGTGGGCACAATTCACTTTCGGCTGTTGCGTGCGTGTAGAGAATACCAAAACTGTATGCTCTTGATATGGGTTCACGTGAAACACCTCTACTACGTAACACACATGTAACTTTTTGAACAACCGATGATGTGCGATGAGGCTCAGAAAATTCGTTTGAATTGAATTCTGTATTTAGATCTTCATATCCTAAAAAATGTTGTGTTTTTAATTACATAGGACACAAGTTTTGTGATACATATTTTTTTATTAATTTATAGAACTTACAAAATATGTATGAAATATTATAAGACCGCATAGGATCATCACAGATAGCAAATCTTTGAAAAGATGTAACTAACAACGCCGTATGGTGAAGTAAATTTGACGATGAAATGGCTGATGCAAGGAGATCATGGTTGACAAGAATGCGTGTTTCTTGTCCTATTTAAGAAAGAAAAAGGTTTTAATAAAAGAAAAACACGATCACAACATATGTTAATTAAAGAACTTTACCATTCGCATCAGAGAACACCAAAGTTATATGGGAGACACTACACGGAGGATCTAAAGCATATGTCAACCTTTGCCTAGACATGATTCTATGAGAGGAAGAACAAACAAAAGGGGAAAAAACTGGAGGACGATATATTTAAGCGTTTGGTAATGTGCTGCATGAATTATAGGGCTAGAGGTTATGAAAACTGGATTTATATATAGATAATAAGAATTTAGGTTTTTTTTTACTTTTTGGTATATTTATTTGCTTATTTTTTTTTGTTAAATTTACAATTAATATATTTAGATGGAAGTATTATAGAACTTTTTTTGGTATATTTTACTTTTTTATTTGATTCAGGTTTGTCAAACTAACTATTTTGATATGCATATAAGATAGCTCTTTCGTGAAAGAAGATGTTTTTTTATGTGTCTATTATTCTTTTATATCCTAAATACGAATGTAGTAATATTACTGATTGTACTTTTCGTATATTTAACTCTTTTTGTTTTAGTTTAGTTAAACTAAACTTTTACAGCATTAAAAATATACTGGAATAATTTTGATTTTGTAAGTTTTTCTCGAACAAAAAGTCTAATTCCGAATTCGACCGTTTTACCACAAATCAAACTGATACTTAAACTTATATTAAAAATTAGAATTTGTTTGGTCAGATAAACCATTCAAATCGTTTTAAAAAATCTCGGTATATTCAAAATCGGATTCTCAGTTTTATCTTAGTAAAAACAACATGTAAGCAAAACAAACGAATGATAATAAAATATATCATCTTTTTTTTCTGAAAATCGCTATGAACTCGTTTTTTTCTGAGAATTGCTATGAACTTGCCATATCAGATTAATATTTCACATATAATATAACTATGACGAGCTTTTCCTTAACAAACTTATATAAATTTCTTTTTGCTATTTGGCATTTTCTTCTATGTCTCGCTTCAATAGTCGTCATCAAGACTATAGTTTGATTAGACTGTTATTATAATGCGTTTGGAGCAATGACGCAGAATATAAATCAAAAGACTGATTTTTTTAACACAACGTACAGTCTTTTGATTTATATTCTGCGTCATTGCCCCAAACGCAATATAATAACAGTCTTATAAAACTAAAAGCAGATTTTTATACCATAATTTAACTGTGGAGTTCTAATATTCAGTTGTGTTTGATATGAGATAACACACACATATATAGTGATTAATATAAATGTAAACTTTCATTAACTTACATTTTTTAGATTTTACGGATCTCAGCTTTGATAAACTACAATAGTTGGTCTGCAAAATAAACATCTTATTCATCAAGTTATCTTTAATAGATTGCTAAGTCTGTATAGAAGCAGAAAACAAGAGATCGGAAAATAAGATGTTGAAGATTTTGGTGCAATATACAAACGTACAGGTATGAAAAAAAACTTAAGTTTTAATATCTTCTGTAAAGTCTTTGGCATTTTCATTTGTTCAATTGAATGAGCAAGTACATCCAGGCCTGAGTACAGCCACTATATCTCTGATCTTCTTTGTAGACTTCAGATGTTAAAATTATGATATTTCCCCACGAAGACCATTCCGACATAGGTAATGTTTACTGGTAATCTCTACCTTATTCCTTTGAATTCTCGTTGTTTGAAATTTAAAAGAAAAAGCTAGAGATGTGTTTTAACCACATAAGCTTAGGAGAGGTATTGACTCTGTAGGTTTTTCTTTGTGAACTTTTATTTTCAAAACAATTTAAAAAATTTATTGAAAATAAACATTAAAAATGTAAAATGTATTTTTTTTAGAAAGGTCTTATAAAACATCTATTTCAATACGGAAGAAATAGAAACATTATTTCAGAATTTGCAAAGTATTCAATTTAAGACGATTTTCTGTTGTTGACTTCATTCTTCAACGCTTCAACAAATTTATCAGCATAACCACTCAACAATCCAGGCCTAACCAAAGTCTCTTTTAATTTCTCATGATTCCTCTTGACTAAATTCCCAATCTCACTATCTACATCCATCACAGATTTAACCGCATCTCTCAAGCTCTCTTTGGAGAACCAACCAGAGTCTTCTCTTTGCACTTTCACAGAGACTTTAAGTTCCTCACTCAACAATCTTGTGGTGAGAACTTGATCACCCAACTGTGGAATAAACACAATCTGACAATCACTTACCAGAGATTCCCACATTGAACCGGATCCACAATGGTTCACAAAGCAACCTACTGATTGATGAGACAATATCAAAGGTTGCTCCACCCATCCTCCCCAAACGATTCCACGCTCTTTGACTCTATCTTCAAACCCTTCTGGTAAAGCTTCTTGAATTGTTGATGAGCCTCCCAACGGCTTCACCGCTATTAAAAATGGTAAACCTGCTAGCTCTATTCCTAAACAGAGCTCTTGAAATTGGTCTTTCTCTATATAATTTTGGCTTCCCAACGCACAAAAGACCAACGAGCCTGGTTTGAATCCGTTCAGCCAGTGATTCCATCGGTCTTCTAGTGGTTTAACACTCTTTTCTTGCGACTCAGGGAACATTGGACCGGTTAAGAGAACTTTTCTCTCACATTGTCTTTCGATGAAACTGCAATATTGACCTTCGATTTCCTTGCTTGTTCTTATGGCAATTAGGTCGCAGTTCTTTAGACCTGTGGTGGTCCGACCAAAAAGCCTTAGGCAGGAATTAGTGAAGAGAGAATAGAGGTTAGCGTCGTGCCCACGTAACACCGTTTTAAAGGAAGGGTAACCCGGTGGTTGAGGAAACCCTAATTCAGCACCAGGTGCAAGAGCCATAGCAACACAAGCTGCGGATACGATCTGGTAACTTACACTCTTGACTCCAATTTCTTTCGCCATTTCTGGAACCCAATGAACAAAATCGAAGAAGATTAGGTCTGGTTTCAAAGCACGAACCTTTGCTTCGATCTGATCGCGTAAGAGATTCATGGCATCGGTTATGACTTTCCCATTCAAGTTTGAGAGATCTGCGGTTGTCTCGGCGCCAACAGGGAGACCATCGACCGGAGGAAGAGTAAGAGGGTCCAAGACAATACTGTACGGGAACAGATTGAGAGACTCGAGTTGTTTCTTAGCTTTCTTGGGAAGCAAGAAGGTTATCCGGTGACCTTTCTCAGCCAGTTTGTTGGCTAGATGAAGATATGGAATGAAATGACCAAAAGCAAAACATGGGTACATAAAAGCATGGAACTTTGACCCCATTTTCCTCAAGAGAGCAAAAAGAAGAATTTTTGTATGTGTTTTTTGTTTCCCCTCAAATTAGAGAAGAAAGGTTGCTTCTTTTGCATTTGATAAGAACGTGTTTCGATTTAAGTGCTATTATTATTTGGGATTTGTTGGGTTAGGTAGGTGGTCGTAATTAGTGAATTTCATGTGCCATGTGTGTTACATGTCATTGTGAATTTGTTAATTCAAATTTGCTTGTGATTTTTGTCTTTTGTTGTTAGTTTGAAATTCCCAAGCTATATCCCTTTTATAAAACTTGCAACAACAAATCTGTAGAAACCAACTCAATGTTTCAAGTTGTGGTAGAAATATCTATTGAATAAAATCAATGGTCGAGTGAAAACAGAGTATCTAAAAGAATTTTAAACCCCTGTAAAAGCCGATGGCAGTTTCAAGAATTGCGACGTGTAAGCTTTCTATTTGTTAACAACAATTACAAATTTGCTTCCTTTTTTTTTTTTCTTGAAAGAGATGCGTAAAGATCAGAAGCCCTAAACTTTTGGAGTGGGTATGACTCACGAGGAGCTACTGGTGAACAGAGACGAAATTAGCAGATAAAAATTGAAACTTTTATCTGTATAGATGTTGAATTTGACAGTTTGAGAGAGCCCGAGATTGTTTCGCTTCCCAATTTATTCCCTGAAGAAACTGAGAATCGTGCGTAGTAAAAGCATCAGAGAATGGAGGTTTCGATGTTGGGTTCCTCTTCCTCATGGAGTTTTCGACTATCCCCGAAGAGACAAACTCCAAAACTCGCAAGCTCTTTAACAGAAAGAGATCCAATTTTTCTGAATATGAGGGTTGGCAATCAAATTAGGCCATATTCAGCTCGAGCTCTGAAGTCCAGGTCTGTCTCTGAGGATTTCGTCGAGAGAAGTAGCCCACTTGAGGTAAAAACTAAAATTGAGAGTTTGTCAGAGACTGTTGGAATTTCGATGTTCCCATTAGATTGTTTTGATTTCTAATCTTGCAATAGAATGTCATGAACAAGTTTCTTCATAACAGAAAGAATGAAACTTTTGTTTTCTTTATCTGTATTGGCTTTGCAGATTTCTAGGTTTTTAGAGAATTAGAAACCAAAAGATTGAAATATTACCCATTGAAAGGTTTTAGCAAAACAACGTTAAAATCTGATATCTCCTGTAAAAGTATTGGCCTTTTTTTGGTCTATTGAATGTGCAAATAAAAACCTATGCTGTCTTTAATCTTCTCTGTAGATTTCGATTGTTAAAAAGTCGGATAGAATCCCCTAGAAAGACCATTTTGAAATAGCCTATGTGAGCTGTATTCTCTACCTTATTCTTTTGCATTCTCATTGTTTGCAAGGTTAAGAAAGAGCTAGAGATTTGCTTCGACCTCATACATAGGCTAGGGAGAGGGATCGTGTATTTAGGTTCCGCCAGAATCCAACCAAACCATCCACATTACCTGCAAGCACAAGACTTGAGCAGAGAAGTAAGTAAGACCAGTAAAATTCCACAAGAAACTTAGTTTATCAAGTTACAATATTGAGCTGTGCATGTCTTTTGTCAGGCATCAAATCTGTTGGACTGTACTACATGGTCTGGAGCTGGACCAGGACTCATGGATGCTGTGACTAAAGGTGCTTTAGAAGCTGAGAAACCGGTCGGTGGCATCAAGATCGAAAAAGAAGCTGGTGAATGGACCGCTTCGAAGTTTCATCCTTATCTCCCTCCTCAGAATTACCATACTTGCAGGTAAATGTAGCCACACACCACTTCTATTGAACAAGAGTGAGTGATCTCTATAATGTGAAATCAATGTTTTTAGGTTTTTCTCGGCGAGAAAGCATGGACTGGTGGATGCAGTGATTAGAAACAAGATTTCAGATAAGACGGCTGTAATTGCATTGCCAGGTGGTATTGGCACGCTCGATGAAATGTTTGAGATTTTGGCATTGATTCAGCTCAAAAGGATTGGATCTGAATTGCCGGTTCCATTCATTGTGATGAATTATGATTCTTTCTATTCGAAGCTGTTTGAATTCATGGAGAGTTGTGAAAACTTGGGAACTGTTTCTAAAGGAGAAGTGTCTGCATTGTGGAAAGTATGCAACAACAACTCTGAAGCTTTGACATACTTAGCTGAATTCTATGAATTGCCTTACGGTTCTACAAGACCAGAAACTAAACTTAGAACTAGTGGAACGGTTTCTTAGCCAGTTTATTTTCTCTTACTTTGACCATGAACAACATCTTTTATGCTGTGGCATAAGCAGAATGTAGTTTTTTTGTCTGCAGTATATATACTAATCAGATTTTTCTTGTTGTTATTTCGCTTAGCCTCTCGTTGTATTCTTCTAATTCACTGAGACAATGGCTATAATAAAACTGGTGAAGACAACAATGACGGTGGACATTGTCTGAGACCAATGTTTTTTGAAAAGGTTTAAACGAGCCAGACAAAACAAAGTTCTGATGAAAGAAGAACCAAAATAAACCAAACCAAATCAATCAAATCAATGTCAAAAAAAGAAAAAGAAACAAACTTTAAGATCTTTTTAAAGCCGTTGAGGTATAGAAATTGAATACAGACAAAAGTAAAAACTTCAAAAAAGAGAGGCGTCTATAATCCGTGGATCGTGCCTACCTAGAAAAGTCTATTTCACACTCGTTTCTCGATGAATATTTAAAAAATAAAACAATTCACCAATTATTGTTTTTCCTCATTTTCTGTTTCCTTCTTCTCTCCCTTTTCTTCTCCTTCGCAAAGCTCAAGAACAAAAATCTATTGAGTGGGTTTTCGCATAAACCTCAGCGCAAATTTCAAGAAGAAGAAAACAGAGCAAAGCTTTCTTCTTTTGACCTTTCTTTGCCCCCAAGATTAAAGGTTTAACCAGAGCCTTAATTTCGTCTTTTTTTTTTCTAACTTTATCCTTAATTCTGGAACATTCGTTCTCGTCCCTTGGATTATGTGTTTTTTTTTGTTCCTCGAGAAAGTTGATTGCTTTCTTGGAATCCGTCTATGACCTTTCTCTTTGTTGTTTTTAAGGGATGATGGGTCTGCGTATAATTGTTTTAGTTACTTACTGAATTAATTTAAGCACTCTTGATCATAATCAAGTTAATAACTTTTGCTTCTGATCAGGTAATTATTTTTGTAAAACGAAAATTGTTACTTGTTTGTTTGAAGACTTCTTGAGCTTTAATTCTAACTACATCATCTTAAAGCTGTATTTTCCAGCGATTTGATTTGATTTGCTTCTGTTGCAACAAATTTTGTTTCTTGTGATAGGGTTTGTGTTAGTGTCTTTTGTGTTAGTTATGTAGAGAGTTTAAACCACATTCCAAAAGGTTTGTTCGTTTTTATGGATAATTCCAGTTTAGCTGTTGCTTTTTATTGTTTGCAGACACTGTCATGGAGTCTCCTCAATCTGTGGCGTCAGACTTCAATGGTATCCATTTAAATGGCAGTGGTGAAACCATAACAAAGAAACCTGTCATGTCGTCTGATTCAGACAGTTTCGTCGGTGTGCTTGAGGTTTTTGTTCACCAAGCTAGGGACATCCACAACATCTGCATCTATCATAAGCAAGATGTGTATGCTAAGCTTTGTCTCACAAGTGATCCCGAGAGCTCCTTGTCCACAAAGATCATCAACGGTGGAGGTAGAAACCCTGTCTTTGACGATACTCTTCAGTTCGATGTGAAGAATCTGGATTGTTCTCTTAAGTGTGAGATATATATGATGAGCCGCGTGAAGAATTATCTTGAGGATCAGTTACTTGGATTCACTCTTGTGCCTTTGTCTGAAGTGATTGTGAGGAATGGGAAGTTGGAGAAAGAGTTCTCGCTTTCATCAACCGATTTGTTTCACTCTCCCGCTGGTTTTGTTGAGTTGTCCCTCTCGTACGCAGGAGATTCCCCCGAGGTGATGCACATTCCTCCGGTTCCAACAGTTGATGAGACCGAGTTGGCTCCTATCGAGTTTGATGAGATTGAGTTTTTGGATCCAAAGATTGTCTGTGAAAACAATCAAATGGTGTCTAACTACTTAGCCTCTCCTTGTTCTGATTCTGATGAATTTGGAAGCTCTGAAACCGGCTTTGTGGAAGTAAACAGCGTCCAGTCTGCAGTTGTTGACACTGTTGAAGAAGCAGCTCCAACTAGTACTGTCTTAACAAACGGAATCTCTTCTCCATCAGTTGCAGTTAGCTCGGGTTCCTCGAGCACTCATGATGATTCAAAGCTATCAAGCGAAGAAAACAACTCAGGTTCAGACCGGGAAGTGAAGAAGCCAACGGACGCTCATGATGATTCAAAGCTATCAAGCGAAGAAAACAACTCAGGTTCAGACCGAGAAGCGAAGAAGGCAGCAGATACCATCAAGAATGACGATTTAGACAAGACGGATGATGAAGTGGTTGTGAAACCGGTTCTGTCAATGAACTTTGAACCAGAGCAAAAGGTAGTGCAGCAAGATATTGTTGACATGTACACGAAAAGCTTGCAGCAATTCACTGAATCACTGGCTAAGATGAAACTCCCTTTGGACATCGATAGCCCGACCCAGTCAGAGAACTCAAGCTCCTCCCAACAGACACCAAAGAGCGCGAGCTCCCGTGTTTTCTATGGGAGTAGAGCATTCTTCTGAAGCTCTGGAACCATCACAAGTTTGGCATCAGACGTAGCAAGTAGTGAAACATAATAAGTTAAAAGTAGACTATCTAAAATGTGTAACTATCTTTCTTTGATGTCTCTAGCTTTACTTGTTATCTGCAACTTTTCCAATTTAGTACTTAAATTTCGCAATCTCGTCCCTTATTTAACAGATGTCTCAGACATGAAGACAGCAATTTCTCTTATAAACAGTACAGAGACAAGAAGTTCGGTCACCAGATTTAGACACGTCTGCAACTTCAACAGGACATAAAAAGTCAACTATCAACAAAGGAACTGCAGATTAAGAGCTGGCTAATGGCTCAGTTCGAGCAACAGGAGTGCATTTAAGTGGATGAGCCATGCTAAGGGTCATATCTCCAGTCTCTTCCATGTTGACCTTATCTCCATTGATACTCCAGTCAAAACACTGTACCATTGTTCCAATGGCTACTCCAATGAAGATATAACCTAAGTTTGATCCGGGACATCCTCTCCTTCCGCTCCCGAAAGGAATGTAGTTCAAAGCTAACTGCTCCCTCATCTCTTCTATCCCTTTTGAAGGAGAAGCCATGAACCTCTCGGGCTGAAACTCGTTTGGGTGTTCCCATGAATTTGGATCTCTCATCACCGCGTAAGAGTTAATGATCATCGTAGTGTTCTGTGGTATGTAAGACCCTCCGATCTTGCATCCTTCTGTTGCATTTCTTACCAAGATTGGTGAATGCGGGTGTAGTCTTAGCCCTTCTTTCACCACAGCCTGCAAATACGGCAGGTTTGAGAGATCCGTTTCTTGAATAAACCTTGTTTTACCGACAACAGATCCTATCTCTTCTCTCAATCTTTTAAGAATCTCAGGGTGGTTAATGAGTTCAGCCATTATCCACTGTGTTGTTTGTGCTGAAGTATCAGTGCCTCCAAGGAAAAGTTCCTACAAGAAATGCAGAATGTTAAAAGACAAGAGACTTTTCATGATCCTTAAGCAGCCATTGAAGAACATGAAGAGAAACTCAGAACATTACCACAAAAAGCGCTTTGATTTGGTTCCTGGAAATCTTAAACTCGGCGTTGTCGTCTGCACAAACTTCCAACAGAACATCCATCATGTCTTTGTCCTCGTTCTTGTTCGGATTCTCTTCGTGTTCCTTGATAATCTTCTCTAGCAATTCATCATACCTCTGCGAGACCTCCATGATTTCCTTCTCAAACAGCGAGATCCCGACCTTCTTGAGAAGTCGACCAACCGTGCTAGCTATAAGGAACTTCCTCACCAAACTAAGTGATTTGGTCACCAAGCCTCTGACTTGCTCTGCTTCACCGTTTTGCTCTGAACATTTCCTGCCCATTATCATCCTGCAAATGCTGTTATTTGTCAGCTTCATCATCTCTTTACCAACATCAACAGCCTCATTCTTTGCCGCCTTGTCAAACAACATAGCACGGAATGTCTTAAGTTCTTCCCCTCGGTCGAGCCGTGTCCGATCAAGGGAATGTGACCCGAGAAGCTTTGTGACTAATAGTTTCTTCATGAACCTCCAGTAATCTCCATAAGGAGCTGAGACAAAGCCAAAAGATCCAAAAAGTATTGATTTTTCCATTATAGGAACCTCGCGGTCTCGGGTAACAAAGTTCAGGTCGTGGATCCTCAAAACTTCATAGGCCATGGAGCCCGACGAGACTAAAACGATTGGGATATTAAAGGCGCGAAGGTATAGGAGAGGACCGTACTTGGATGAGAGTTTCTGAAAGGATTTGTGACTTGGAACAGAGACGAGATGGTGAAGATGACCGATGACTGGTAGAGACGGTGGGCTCGGAGGTAAATCACCGTTGTGGAGTTGTAGCTCTTTGGGTTTCTTGAAGAAGAAAGCAGAGAGGCAGAAGCGTGAGAAGAGCCATAGGAGGACGAAGATGAAGCAGAGCTGAAAGTCAACGGTGATAGCTGCCATTGCTTTCCAAAAACTGCAGAGAGAATAGATGAACCAGAAGTAGTTTTATTATAGACATACTCTCTAGATCAGATCTTTCCTTGAGATCCTTTGTGATATAAAAAATTAATAATTGAATAGTTTAATCTTTAGGGAACGTTGTACAAAGAGACAAATCAGGTTCCACATGCTATAAAAATATTTAAATATACAACATGTGAAAATATGTTAAAAGAGTTTCTTGGGCTAAAGAAAAAATCTTTGATAAGCAACATTAAAACATTCAACAACTACCAATCCAAAACATCTTTGATCTGTCCTGAATCATGAACCTGAATCTGAGATTGAGATTGAGCTTGAGCATGAGAGCTTGAGAGGAAGCTCAAATCAGCTGAGAAAGAGCTACTGCAATCTGAGAACCGATAAGGGCATTGTTTTTCACAAGCGCAATGTCTGAAACTGTGTCAAGGAACTCAAGTTTTACAATGCTGAGACATTGCTGTTCTTAAGCCACTGAAAGGGTTTGTATTTTCGATAAAGATATAAATTTTTTGAACTACTATAAGTGATTAGCCATCGAAAGATTTTGGTAGAAAAGTAAAGATTAAGGGAACCTCTAGTGAAAGGATACTTGCTGCTAGTGACGTGCCTCCAGTCAATTCATTTACCCGAGCAAGTAAAAATGGAGTTTCTGCACTTCCAGTAACTTTTTGTTCCCTGGCCAAAACCACATTCAGATTTCAGACTGATGAAATAAGAAAAAGAAGCAAAGCCCTTGAAGTATTCTGATGCAAGTATGTAATGTATGAAAGATATTAGCTTCTTCGTATGACCTCGCTTCTGTAAGAGCACGCTGTGTTGCTGATTCGATAATATTTCCGGCGGCTGAATGCTGTTTTGGAATTGGAACCGCAAATAGAATCCCCGCCTGACGGTTTAGCTTCATGTTTGCATCTGCACAAAGCAGTTTATCTCAAGGTGCTAAGGGATCAAAGCGTATATATACTTTAGAAAAAGAGGAAATTTTGAGACAAAGTCTACACTTGCCTATTACTCGAGCACAGTCTTCAGGGCTATCTACCCGGAAAGGTGCCTAAAGAAGTCAATAAATCCACATCAGAACTTAATATCTAAGCAGAAGCAAGTGATCGAGTTCAGTGCTAATGGACAATTTTTTCACCTTACAGCCGCTTTTTTCTGTGAAAAATGCCGGAAACTCATCACTTTTGTATGCAGCAACATACACTTCTTGAGTTTCCTGCATTGTCAACCAATAGCTCTTATAAAATCTAAATTCTTAATCCTTGACAATAACATATGCCTCGACAACGGATTATATACCAAATATTCAAGAGTCTTTGGGATATCAAGTATTGATTTAACGCCCGCTGATATCACTGCTATAGGAGTCCTTCCGAGTGCAGTAAGATCGGAGGATATGTCCATAGCTGCAAAATATCAGACCAACGGAGAGCATGTTGGCTTCAATAGTACTCAACAACATCATCTAACCAGTGTTTCTAACCATGTAACTAGAAATTGAGATTAAAGTACGAAATGGACATGAAACTTACTATGGTTAGCATGTCTATGCACACCTCCTATCCCGCCGGTTACAAAAACTTGGATGCCAACCTACAACAACCAAAACTCTTTAGATGAAATGAGTATACAATGATACCAATAATACTAAAGAAAGATCGATGAACAAGATAAGTTACCATAGAAGCGAAAAATAAGGTTGCAGAGACTGTAGTTGCACCATTTCCTCTTCTAGCCACCTGATGGGAAACATTTAGGTAATACATGGAAGAACAAAACAGTCTGCATTGATTGAAAGTACATAACGTGCTCTTCACCTATATATTAAAAGCTCTAGTTTCGAGTAAGGTAGGTTAAACAAGCTAGCTTGATTGAATTGATGCAATTTGATTTTATGAACTAATGGTAGTATATTTTTCTACATGACTCGAGTATGAAAACAAATCTTAAACTGAAGAATAAGCAAGTTCTATGATCTCGCTTGTACTGATGAACATTATGATGGTGCAATAAATAGAGAGACACCAGCAGTGAGGAGCATAGAGTTTCAAGATAGTGACTCACAACATGTGCTATGTCCCTGCCTGCAGTCTTTTGGACACTTTTTCCCAGAGATGCAAGACGTTCTAGTTCTTCTTCGTTAAGACCTGTTTGACTACATATTAGCATCTAAAAGGAGAAGAAGAAACCTACGAGACGACTACTGCTATTGACCCCTTACAAAAAAAGATTCTATAACCGTGATCTACGATCTTAAAACCAAGTTGTTTTTTTCAGTAAACTACCAAAGATGTTAAAAACCATGTTCTAATTCACCATATATTAAACTAACCTATGCAAGGTACTCCGTTCAGTATAGCTATTGTTGCAGGGATTGCTCCATTTTCTCTCACAATTGATTCAACCTCTTTTGCGGTTTGCAGATTTTGAGGGTAAGGCATACCTATAAAGGCACAGTAAAGGACAAACCAGTTAAAATCAGATTAAGATCCAATAATGTTGGCTTAAGTTCTGAATTGAATTCCACAGAAACCATGGGAGATTATGGTTGACTCAAGAGCGACCACGGCACGTCCATTAGATATGGCGTCAGATACTTCTGGAGATATCTTGACCAGACTCCTGAGCTATTTTAAACAGTCGTAAGAGAAAGCAAATCAAGATTGGAAAAACAAAGACTACAAACATTGGAACAAGCAAGATTAATGGAGAAAAACGAAAAAGGTGGATCTTTTTATACAGAAACCTTGTTGTTTGCTTCAAGTGGGGAAATATGATTCTGGAGAGTCGAGATTCTAGAAAGAGCAGAAGAAGAAGCCATTCCTCTCTGACTTCTGTTTAACCCTCTCTTTTGCTTATCTGAATGAATTCCAAATTCTCCATTAAACCAACTGAAAAATTCTTCCTTTCTATGTTCATGATTATTCTTAACTCCCAAAAACAGTGAAAAATTATACCAACACAATCAGATCATTAGTCAGTCTACACGAAATATTCAATTCACTTAACAACTATGGTAGAGATTGATAAGAAATTAAAAACCAACCAGAAATCTTCAAACAGAAATTGCCCAAATTCAGTTTTACTCACGAGGTTTATTTAAGCTGTCAAACAGAATCTGAAAGAGACCTTACAGGGGCACGAAATGAAGTGAAGAAGATGAAGAGAAAAACTGAAGAAGTCTCTCTCACCGTTGTAGACGGAACAAAACCAAAACAAATCAGAACTTAAATAAATTCATATACAGTACTGGTATTTCTAAACCGGTTCGGTTCATGTTTACGGATGATTTCGGTATTGTAACAAAACGTTGGAGAGAGAGAGAGAGGGATCTAATTTTATCGGAGTGTTTGGGTCCGTTAGGAGCATATCTCCGCACGCGAAGGACCGACGATCTGATCTCAGTCGCCGGCATTCATCGCCGCCGTCAACTCTTCTCTGCTCTGTGTAGCGCGCTCACTCTCTCTCCTTGAAACTCCGTAAGCTTCTTCGATTGTCACTCTTAGAAGTTAGACCATTGATAATTCTAAAAGTTCCCCGATCTATTGTAGAATTTATTTTCACCAAAATCAGTAAGGACTCGGGATCTAAATTGTTGCGTCGACTTGATCGCTGTGACGTAGAAACCCATGGGATCCTCTACTCATTCGCAAACTGTCCCTGATCTTTGTTTTGCAGATCCTCCATTTCGAGTGATTTTGGTTTTGATCATACGAATTACAAACCATGGATAAGTCGAGTGCTCTAGAGTATATCAACCAGATGTTTCCAACAGGTGGTTTTTTTTCTTCATGAGGCAGTAGGAGAACATTCATACTCTTTGTACATCGTCGATTATGTTGAGACTTGAATGTTGTTCGTAATAAATTCAATTCAATATGAACTTTTGCTTCTGTAGAGACTACTTGTTCAGCTACTGATTAACTGATAGTTTCTGCATATGTGACCATGAGTTTCAAATGGTTGTTTTCCTCTACAGAAGCATCGCTATCTGGCGTTGAGCCACTTATGCAGAAGATTCATGGTGAGATTCGGCGGGTTGATGCTAGCATACTATCTGCTGTTCGTCAACAGGTGAGCTTTTTTCTTATTGATCGCTTACTTCAGTTTATGTGAAAGTTACTCTAAGGCTTTAGATATGTTTTGACTTTAATAAAGTTTGTAACTCCTCAATTTGTTGTGCTTTGTACCGAACGTTGCATGGAACATTTGTGAGTCACTCGTGCAATATTTCTTGTGGATGTGTACATTGAATCAATAATTGTATTTTATGCACAAAGAAATACAATAAGTTTGCTTCTATGTTGAAAGAATGATCTATGCTTCTTAATCTTATTCTTGTGCTGGCAATCGTACTCCAGAGTAACTCGGGAACTAAAGCTAAAGAAGATCTTGCTGATGCTACACGTGCGGTGGAGGTTAGTTTTCTCATAGGTTGTTATGTATTGTATGCTGTACTGTCAATATATCATTTCCTTGTTTTTTGTTTCTCTTTATCGTTTTTTGCTCAATTCACTCGTAAAGTAATTTGATTTTGTTTGCGATTTAACAGGAGCTCTCATATAAGATTCAAGAGATAAAATCCAAAGCTGAGCAAAGTGAGGCAATGGTCCAAGAAATATGCCGTGACATTAAGAAGTTAGATTTTGCAAAGAAGAATATAACCACGACGATCACTGCCCTTCATCGCCTCACTATGTTAGGTCAGTCAGCAATAATTTACTCTGTTTGATTTGCTCATTATTTTCACCATATCTGGTCATATTATCCTTAATCCGGAATGATAGCCCAAGTGTAATGCAACCCTATATAAATAGGGGTTCTAAGGTAGTCAACGTCAAGCAAGTGACATGATGTTGCTGGTTAATTTATTCTTGGATCTATTCTACTCTTTATATGATAAACAAATATATGCCATGAACGTAGTTAAAGTTGACCATGTACACTATTCATAAGCTTAGTAATATAATACACTACCGTGCTATGGCAGTCTCTGCTGTTGAACAGCTTCAGGTGATGGCGTCAAAAAGACAATACAAAGAGGCAGCTGCACAGTTGGAGGTACTTTTTTTTTCTAAAAATAAGTCAACAGCCTTTTGCGTTTATTCCTTCTGTTACGTTGGTTTTAGTTCACTTGCTATAGATTCACTTGCTATAGATTTATGTTCACCCTGGAAGCCTAAGGTACCTAGCTGGATGTCCTAGAAGATGACTCTTCTTCTTTTATGATTATTTCAGGCCGTTAACCAGTTATGTAATCACTTTGAAGCATTCAGAGATTTTCCTAAAATCGCAGAGCTCAGAGAGAAGCTTAATAATATAAAGCAAATCCTTAAATCCCATGTATTTTCTGACTTTTCCAGGTATTGCCTTTAGTGGTTTGACCATATTTCACATACTAAAATAAATCCACAGTAGTGTCAAAAATTGTCCACTGTAATGGTTTTGGTTGATCCTGCTTCTCTTTCTCAATTTCTTTATCTGAAGAAGGTTACAGCTAGAAAGGATTTTGAGGTGGTAAATTTTGCACTGTTGGTGTCATAAATTGAGGTATCATGCTTGTTGGCTGGCATGCTATCTTATTAGACTAGTGCCTGCATAGTGATTTAGTATTTGCTGCTTCGTTTTGGTGGTAAACAAAAAACTAGTTTTAAGATGTTTATATAATATTTATTTGTTGTCATCTCAGTTTAGGAACTGGGAAAGAGACAGAGGAAACAAATTTGCTACAGCAGTTATCTGATTCATGCTTGGTGGTTGATGCTCTGGAGCCATCTGTGAGAGAAGAGTTGGTAAATAACTTTTGCAGCAGGGAGCTAACCTCATATGAACAAATTTTTGAAGGAGCTGGTATATTGGACTTAATGCCCTAAGTATAACTAGCACTGAAAGTTATATCTATATGTTTTCTTGGATTTAATCTCTAAGATGTTAATTGTTTGGTAGAATTGGCAAAGTTGGATAAAACAGAGAGGAGATATGCTTGGATAAAGCGTCGAATCCGAACAAATGAAGAAATTTGGAAGATTTTTCCTGCTTCTTGGCATGTGCCTTATAGACTATGCATCCAGTTCTGCAAGCAAACAAGGTTTTGCCTCTTTAGTTCTCGATGAACATTTATCTTGCCTCCCATTAATTATTGTAGATCATCATATTTCTCCTAGAGGTTCTACTTAATTAATTGAAGATCTGTGTTTATTAAACACTAAAATTAGATTAAATTTGTGAGAGGAATCTATTACGAGTAATATTTGACTAATCAAAGGTTTGTTTTGTTAGCCACTCAATTATATTTGTTAATTTCTAACTTCTGTTTTGCTATACAGAGGTTACCTTTTATTGGGGTGTGTATCTTTTGCTGGTTTTTAGTCACTTTGCTGTGAAAAAATTGAGTCGCAGTAGTAACTGTTAGTCTTAATCTAACAACAATATGAAGCCTTCTTAACTATCGTGTTTTCCCATCATTTTTCCAGGAAGCAAGTAGAATCTATTCTGGTCAATATGAAAGAGAAGCCAGTTGTAGCGATATTGCTTCTGGTCAGGCACGCTCTCTCTGATCAATAGTTGCATACGCATGCTTGTCCTAACATGAAAATTGCATTAGATTTATCAGATGGAATATAAGAACGTTTTGTCACCTCTGAAGGAAATATCTAATGATTATAAATTATCTTATCATGTTCCTCCGCTTCACTTTCATCAAATCCTGTTACCTTTGATATCTGGTGGAATGTTTCATGCCTCTATTAAAGTTTGATGTCGTTGAATGATTAGGCACTACAAAGGACAGTAGAGTTTGAAAAAGAACTGGAAAGTAAATTTGGTGGTGGTGTTCCTTCTACGGATATCGGAGATGACATTGAAGAAATTGGTACATGGGAAAACAATAGTCAGAATGTATCCAAAATTCGCAAGAAATATGAAAAGAAGTTTGCTGCTAGTCAAGAATCTGACGAGAATGTATGTTCTATGTTCGTATTCTATATTATGGAAAACAATCTAGTAATTTTATATTACTGCTTACACTTTATTCTGATAGTATTTTCTGCCTCTGCTTCGACAGGTAAAGACCGGAGAAAAAGATTTATCTGTGACAGGAACTGGAGCTGGGGTAAATTCCCTATCTTATTGTTATCGCCTCTCCCTGATTTTGGCTTGTGACATTTCCTTTGTAATTATGGAATTCCTTTGAGAGCAAGTGAAAGTGGCTTAAATCTTAATAGTTTACAGGCACAATATTGCATTCATAGAAGACGGTAAAAATTTATTGCATCGCATCCCCATTTTCGGATCTACTGATATTATGAGCCTTCCATCATCCCATTTGACCTTCCATACCTGAAAACTGAACTGACATACATGCAAACAACTTGTCTCATTCTATCATTTGAAGGATTTGTTTACTCACTGGTTACTCGACCTCGCAGTTTAACTTCCGTGGCATGATCTCTTCTTGCTTTGAACCTCATTTAACCCCATATATTGAGTTGGAAGAGAAGACACTTATGGACGACCTGGAGAAATTTGTTCAGGTTCGCTTAACACAATTTTTTTGTTCCAAGGTTTGTCAAATATTCCTAATTTTCTTTTCTTTCTGTCAGGAGGAAACATGGGATATTGAGGATGGAAGTCAAAATAATGTTTTATCCAGCAGCACACAGGTGGGTAGCTAGGGAAGCTTCCTTGAAGAAGGGTTAATAGTTTAAACTTTCACAGATATTAACTGATTTACGGCTTCCACTAGGTATTAATTGGCAGGGGTAGTTACGTTCTTTACATAGATGTGTAGAATTACTCTCTTCTTGAAACATTGAACCAACAACTCGGTCATTTCCCACTGAGCTGGATAGAATTTTGTGATCATGTCCAGGGCGATGTTTGTTGTATTAGTAGGAAAATTCTTCTGTGTAAAACCGGATATTGTTCTCAAGAGGAACTTTGAAAAGTATCTTCTGTGCATAGTGACTATAGATGTCACTCAATTAGCCAGTGAGAACTTGATAACATTCCAATACAGATAATTGCCACGTTATATCGTATCGTCAGTACCATTCAAAATGAGTTTTGCTAAGTAGTTTACTATTGCCTTGTTTGCAGTTGTTTTCTAACATAAAGAAGAGTTTGAAACGGTGTAGTGCTCTCAGTAAGAACCAGACATTATTCAATTTGTTCAAGGTACAGTTTTCA